GCTCGTCGCAGGGGATTTGTGACCTGGGTTTGCACTAAGCCAGGAGAACCTGTGCTTGGTAGGGTGCCACAGCTTTGCTTCTAGTTATTGCCACCAATGTCCAGCCCAGGGTGTCTCCTCCATGGGAGAGGTTTAACCTGAAGCTCTCCCAGCAGCAAACCCCCAAATGCTGCTTAGTTGTTTAACAAGGCAGCAGCAACTGAAGACGGAGAGGTTGAATTCGTGCAAATCCACATCCCGATAGTGCCCAGGGATGGAGAAGGATCAAGTCTTAGGAAAAAAGGGAGCATGAGCTGTGAATGAGTGGGCTAATGGCCTGCCCAGGACCGAGAGACGGGGAGTACCAGGTCCCATCTCTCTCCCTGCCTTGTCCTTTCTCATTCTTCTCTCTGTGCCAGCTGAGCCAGGACATTTGTGCTCTCGTCAGCCGAGTCCTGCCACCCCGGCCCCAGCCCGGGACTCCCCGGCTGAGCCCCCTCCTCACCCCCGCGGTGTGCCGGCGCCGTTGGCACAAGCCCTCCCCGCCAGGCTCGGAGACACGGCGCCTCTGCAGCGCAGCTCCACCATTGATCCCCCCTTTGCTAACAAACAGCCACCTCTCCGGGCTCTAATTAAAATGGATCGAGATTTATTTAAATGCCCTCTTTTCCCTGCCGCCGACAGCGGGATGCGCTTTGCTTAGCAACCGGCAGTGTGGAGAGGAGCTGGATCGATACCGGCTCCGCGGCTCTGTGACACTAACAGACACTGTCCTGAAAGTGCTCGGCGCCGACGGGGGCTCTGAGCTCCTCACCAGCGCACCGGCACCAAACCTGCTCTCCGGCCAAGAAATGCCATCATGGCCCAGGAAAACCTCTGGGTAGATGTGGAGGGATGACAGACAGAGGGGGAGAAGGAGAAAGGGGGATGCAGGAGGTGGACGGGCAGACAGACTCTGTCTCCAGCCTCCCAAGTCTTCTCCTGTCTCCTCTCCACCCTGGTCGAAAGGATGGAAATGTTTGGGTGGACCCAGAGCTGGACTCCAGGTCGTTCAGAACAAGGTGCCGTGAGGACATGGGGCCTCCCCGCAGTACTCACTGCATTCATGTCGATGCCGTTGGTGTAGGACCAGGCGTGCTGGAAATACTCCTCCAGGCGCTGGCGCAGTGGGTTGGGGATCTGGTGGAAGCGGATGAACTCCTTAACCCGCAGCATCTGCGTGTGGTAGCGGGCCGTGCCCGAGTACAGGCGCTGGATGATGGCGGAGACGTTGCCGAAGATGCTGGCATACATCAGAGCTGCAACGAGAGGGCAGGACTCAGCAGGACATGGGGAGATGCATGTCCAACTACGTCAGACCTGGAACCAGCAGGTTTCCAAAGCCCGTATCTACCACGGACCTGAAACCAGTGGGTTTCTGAAATCCGTATTTCTATCTATCTTCCCATCCATTTGTCTGTGCAGAAGAGGCATAAAACCTCTTAAACCCCATATGCTACAGCCTGGCTGGTCTCTCCCTGTTTCTCCCCAGAGCAGCCCCTCCAACCTCCAAGGCAGGGATGGGGACAGCGGGACACGGGCAGGCACTCACAGCCAATAAGCATGACACAGATGGAGAAGATCTTCTCCGAGTTGGTGTTGGGTGAGACGTTGCCGAACCCCACACTGGTGAGGCTGCTGAAGGTGAAGTAGAGGGCAGTGACGTATTTATCTTTGATGGACGGGCCAGAGGAGAGGTCGCTGTCATTGTAGCGCTTGCCGATTTGGTCACCCAGGTTGTCCAGCCAGCCGATCTTGTGCTCCATGTAGGGCCGCTCCACGTTGCCGATGGCGTACCAGATGCAGGCCAGCCAGTGGGCGATGAGGGCGAAGGTGCACATGAGCAGGAAGAGCACGGCTGCTCCATACTCGGAGTAGCGGTCCAGCTTGCGGGCCACGCGGACCAGGCGCAGCAACCGGGCGGTCTTCAGGAGGCCAATGAGGGTGGTGGTCTGCAGGGAAGAGGTGAGAAACCTCAGGGACAAGCCGGAGATAAATCTGGCCAAAGGCATGTCTCCAGCCTAGCCATGCTCCCTTTGAAGGATAAAACTGCACTTCTAGAGCATGAATCACCTTGTCCTGGAGGTGACATCTGAAATAGGTTAGATGAATCATGCCGCAGGAAGGGCAGTTTCCCACCGCTGACCATAAAGGGAACAAGCTCTGGGATTACAGGTGAGCAAGTGAGAGGAGCCAATGCCAAGCCCGTGTTTCCTGATGGGTCCTCACCTTGCCAACCATTGCTCCCAAAACAGCTGCCTTTCACCCCATCCCACAGGCTCTCAGCCAAGGTGGGGCTTCCAGGTAGCGCAGTAACCACAGGGGCCATGCCATTGCCAACGTTTTGAGTCTGGCTGGCAACGCGACCCCAAATTCGGCCTCGCTAGCATATGGGGCCAGTCCCTAAACTGAGCTCCCAGCCTGCTCTGCTGGGCCAGCCCCAGCAAGGGGAGTGGGTCCAATCAGAGACTATCTTAGCACTTACAGCAGGGTCTGTGTGGCTGCCTGACCCTACTAAATAAAATCCCAGGTCCCAGCTGCTTAATAAAAACCTGTAATGACATCCTTGCCCATCCCTCTGACTAACCACCCCTCTCCTCGCAGATCTAGGATTAGATCCATCCACCGCTTATATCAAGCCATCCATATCCCTCTCTTTCTCTCCCATACATCTCTCCCCATCCATCCATGAGTCCCCTCCTGTCTTGATGGACCTCTAGGCCCTGCCTGTACCTCATCAGAGCCGGAGCGGAAGATCAGCAGGTCAAAGGGGATGGCGGCGACCATGTCGATGAGGAACCATCCCTTGAAGTAGTGGATGGCAATCTTGCCAGGGTGGCTCACCACCTCGTCATTGATGTTGACGTAGGTAGTACGGAAGTTGATGACAATGTCCACGATGAACATGATGTCCACGATGAGGTCAATGATGTTGAGTGGGTCACAGGAGTAGCTGCAGTCCCAATGCTTCTCCTCCACCTGCTCCTCATTGAGCAGGAAGGCAGCCGAGTAGGGGGTGAAGACAGCTGTGTAGATGACCAGCAGAAGGATGAGCCAGTCCCACACGGCCTTGAAGGGACTGTAGTGGAGGATGGTCCATCGGTGGATGCGTGGTGCCTGCAGCTTGTACTCGGGAAGGACGTCAGCGCCCAGGGACAGCACCTGCCAAGAGATGGGTGTGAGAAGGATGGGAGACCAGGAGAGAGGTTGGATAAGGTCAGGAGCCAGGTAAGGGGCTCCCATGTGCTGGTAGGGCAGTGAGGAGCATGCAGTGGGTTTCCCACACCCTTTTCACCTTTGTCACCTTCATGTGTGTTTACCCAGGAGGCCACAAGGTGAGTTGCCCACTATGGCTGACACCAAGGTCCAATTCTAATGGCCAGAGCACCCTTGGGGCAAGTGTTTACCTGCTTTATGCCTTTCAGACCTTACCATGCTGGCAGGGAGGAAACTGCCTCCTGCCATGCCTCCTTGTGCCTTCAGCTCTGTGCCACCAGCCCAGGAGCTGCTGGGTGTCCCTGGCACAGGGCTCTGGGGACAGCAAGCCTGGAGCTGCAGTCCCATGGCTGTGGCATGGCCTGGCCCCAAAGGTGATGGCACGTTAGGCAACCCACAAGCCTTGCATTGTGCCTTTCTTGGCCCCAGCAGGGACCTTCCCCTTGATGTCCTGCTGGCACAGCTGTCCTCCAAGCAGCGGGGACAGCTTGGGCCACCCATAACAAAGCCTGGCCTCGGGCAATGCCCATTTCCCATCTGAGCATCCCCAGGGATGGGGTGACCTGTGGCCACCAACGTGCAAACACCATCTCATGCGCACAGGCACCCTCCCATATTGTCATGTGTCCCTAGGTCTGTCAGCCCTCATGGGGACACGCTCCCACAGCACCAGTGAGTCCCCACACATCCCAGCTCCCCCCTCCAGGACCAATGCCAGCTCCTGGTGGGCTCTGAAGCCACCCTGGGGACACAATGCAAGGTGCTGGGAACCGGGAGGGCTGGGGCTGTCCTGCTTTGGATGCTGAGAGACGGCATGAAGGGGCTTATTTGGAGCTGGGGGCAGCCGGAGCCCCTCTGCCTGCCCCAAAAAAAAATCGCTGTGGTGCTGGCCATCAGTGCTACCTGCGGCGGAGGGCGAAGGGCACCTCAGTGCCCTCTCCCCTGCACCGAGCCCCCAGCTAAAAGGGTGCTTTTTGCCGGGCTGCAAAGGAGGGGAGAGAGGAGGCTCCACGTGCCCCAAGGCCACGGTGATGGGCACCATTCTGGCAACACATCTGGAAGATGGGCCTGATCCTTCCTGCACTGACACCATCTTGTTCAAGGGTTCAAGGGCTTCCCGAGGGCTCCTGGTGCTGCAA